AACAACGCTAACCTTAGCTCTTAAATCGGTTTCGTAGCTATCTTTAACAATAAAGCTTACGTAAGTAAAAACGAGTTTACTTTAACGAGTAACATCTTTTATTAAGTGTTACAAAAGTGCAAGAGAGTAATAAAAGTAATATTAGCTTTCGAGCTATACGCTATGTCTTTAAATATCGATATAGCTATTGCTATATCGACTACTTTTGCTTAAATTACAGCTTAGCTAAGAATCTTTAATTTCTTCGTAGTTGTGTACATTAACTCTTATTCGTTATACGAGTGCATAATAAAGCTAAGAACTATTAAAGAAAAGCGCTTTATAATCGATATTATATCTATTCGAGAGTCATACGAGAAGCGGGAGCTCTTTAAGGTACGCTGGATCGAAGGCAAATCCAACCTTGCTGACGCTATGATTAAAATCAGGGCTAATACCTTTTTGCAAGAGCTAGTTGTGACTAATACTTTGAAGGTACAGGTGGACGGATAGGTAAAGAGGCCGCTATGAAAGGTTTAGAAGAGTGAGGTTTAGAAGAGTAAGATTGTTTTTCATTCGTTTGATTACTTTCTTTCTTTTTTTTTCGGTCGATATAATAGTTAGCAAAGCACTGCTTGCTAAAGAAAGAGTTGCCGGTGTCAGTATTTCTATATCGACCTTAACTAGCTAATAGTAGTAGTAGTTGGGGAAAGCTCACTCGTGAACCATGGTTCACGGGCCACTTGGTATGCTTCGCTTAGCATGTCAGCAGTCAAGGGACCCCTAACTTGACAAGTAAGCTTATTAGTTAGCTAGTGCACGTGATTCCTTTTAATCATATAGAAAGAATCAGCTCCTTTGAGCCTTAGGGAGCAAGCAGAATTCAGATACCTTATCAACCGAGTGTTTTGCAATTGCAAGTACTTTGACGAACGTTACGACCTTACGAATATATATTCCTAATCGCTTGGAAGCAATCCAACATGATTGCTATGTATTGTTTGATTTTAATATATCGTAAAAATAAAGTGTTTAAATGTAAAGAAAGTATTTTACTAAGATTAAATGCACGTAGCAATAAGCTTTTGTTTAAATTAAGCGAAAAATAAAAGCTTTTTATTAGTTCTTATAACTTTTATAACTTTTATAACTTTTATAACTTTTATAACTTTTATAACTTTTATAACTTTTATAACTTTTATAACTTATATATCTTTTATAACTTTTATAACTTTAATAACTTCTATAACTTTTATAACTTTCGTAACTTTTGTATAATGTACAAATATATATATTTATACGTTATATAACCGCTGTACAAGCTGCCTTCGATATATATAATTTGTATCTCGATTAATACTAATATTAATAGACTTCTTTTTAAAGCGGCAAAAATCAAACACATTCTTAAATATAACTTTCGCTAAAGTCTTTACTTTAAAAGCTGATATATAATACCAGGGCAAAGGACCAAGTTCTTTGTAATGTCACCAACGGGCTAATTACTAAAGAGTCGATTAAAAAAATCTTTATATATTCAAGTAAATTATAAAATAAATAATAATAAAAACTAAATATATATAAAGGTAATTAACGTAAGAAATAATTTATTTAATAATTTATTATAAAAAAGAAACA